GTCTAACCATCTTGATAAGCCACACCTGTGAGTTGGGTGGATGATCTCAGCAAAGGAGAAGTGCTCACTAACACAGATTTGCACAAATTTGTGAGCAATATTTAAGCGAAAAAGGTCTGTTGTGTACAGAGAAAAAGTTTTAGAATTTTGAGTTCAGTTCATGAAAAATAGGAGCAAAAACAAAAGTATTGTGTTTATATATTTTTTCTCTCTGTGCTCTGGCGAAGACAGACGTGCCCTCTTTTGCTCTGTACCCTCGCTTCCCTGCTTTGCTCTCTTTCGTCTGTGAACCCATTAATGAGCCTGTTTTTTCCTGCATGCCTTCCTAATTTGAAGGATTTGATCAGCTGGTCTCTCAACAAAATTGATCAACTTCTCCCGACAGGAGTCAGGGTAAGGAGGACCCCCTTACCTTGATGGAAACAAATTGGATTCATGATGACATCTGGATTCTGCTGTTTGGGTTGGTGAAATCTGGATTGTCTACAAATTTGTGTGAATATGTCGAAGCTTGGCAGCACTCAGACTGAATTATGTTGAGCTGCATCAGAGAGCTGGAGCAGGCTGTTATCAGGACTGTGAACTTTCTGGCAGCGCCCATGAATGGTGGGAATAATCTTGGAGAAAGCTATGAGCTCGACTTTCGGTGTAAGAAATCAATTTGGCTGTTTGGAGTCACTTTAAAAGGCAGAAACGGCAATTTACGAGTTCTGCCTGATACCCAAACTGTGGCTTCAACGGCAGACTTATCTCAATACCTCCTGGCATGTTTATGAAAAACGAAGATGCTTTGTCTGTTTCCTCACCCCTCCCTTCCCCAAGGTCGTGGACATGTGACAGAACCTCAACTGAGCTGATGATAACAAACACCTCTTATCTGGACACTGACTGAGGGGGGGGGGCTTTGGACTATGCTACGACCTTCCCTTAAAATTCAATGCCTTCACCGGCCTCATATTTATTATGTCTATTTATGTTGCTTTGCTGTGGTAGTTTTTTTTTATGCCTCAAACGGTGCCCTGTCTAGGACACGGTGTGAGTGATCTTTTTTAATACCTTCTCTTCTCATGTTTTCTTCCCTTTTCTCATCTAAACAAAAATATTATTCTGAATAAGAATAAGAAGGCCGCGCTAATTAGCAGCAGCTTTGTGCACTACGTCCATCTTTCGGATGGCTGTACGTACATGTTCTCGTATCTCGGTGCAATGACAGTAAAGTTTATTCTGATTCTGATTCTGATTTTTTTCAGTGTATATTAAGTTGGTCTTAGTCTGCATGCTGAATTCAGTGTCATACAGAAATTCTTTCCTAAATGCTGCATGTTTGGGGTAACCAGTCAAATTACAGCTCCTAGTTCTGTTTTCCTATGCTTAATCAAAGTATCACCACTTAATTATGGAGACTGAATAAAAATAGCAACACTAAAGTGTCTATTACTTCATCAACCCCCACAGCCTGTCAGAGCATGGCAACTTAGCCCGTAGGCAGCAAAAAAAACATCTGTTATTGTCCGCTTCACTTTGGTGAATTTAAGCCATTTCTTCACATAAACGTTTCAACGTTCTTTCACGTTTCTCTCTTTTCACTGATACTGATGACACAGGCAGCAACTATAGAGGCAAGTGACACCAGCAGAGAGAGCAGGTTTTGCTCTCAGGCACAAAGGTGCTTGTTCCCCAAGAGTAACGTCTGTTGACAAGGCTGCTGGGAGATGAGACATGTTTGAAGCAATGCACAAGCTTCACTTGTGCTGTTGAATGCTCCCTGTGCCAATGCCAAATTAACCAATGACGCCACACTCACACTGTTTATTTCAGTGTTTAGAATTTTTTATGTCAGTGTCCCAAGTAAATACAAATGAATTTGATACAATTTCTCTGTCTAAATGCCTGGGACTGAAATAGCTTTCTTTCTTTTTTTTTTTTAATCATGTATAATTTTTTTGTGGTTCTAATGAAAATCACATTTTAAAATAATGTTAATTTAGTTTTGATACTTCTTTGAGGAGCTTTTTCTAAAAAAAAAAAAAAAAAGAAAACTGTTGATAGACAGCAATTTACAGGCAGTTGCTAAGGGTTTCATTAACCAAAGAGATTTTCTGTAATTATAGCTTGATTATTATGAGATTCTAAATGTGAAAGATTTTGGTAAAAATCAAGCTAAGCGCTTGCTGAAATTAAACTTGTTTCATACCGTGAATCAAGGCTCTCTTATTTTCAAAGATGAAAAACACAGTTTTGAGTAAATAGCAACTGAACTTACCATAAAAGTAAGAACTGAAATACTTAACATACCCATGCATGCTGCTTTAAAGATCCTGTTATAGTAAATGAGTTAAAGGTCTAGCATTTCTGTAGGGAATGCAAATTGTTCTTACCTTTTTTTACCAGTTTTAGAGAAAGATGTTCATGTGTTGAGAAATGATGGAGTTGTAGCCGTTTTAGTCAAACCTTGAAAATAACGTTATGCGTTATATATGTGTATATATATGTATATATATATATATATGTATATATGTGATCAAACAAGATGTCACACTCAAAGTAACTGTTGTGAATGATTATCAGCTACTACTACACCAAATGTTAGAGCAATATCTGTAAAATGTCATGAGTTATAGACATTCTTGTGCTAGCTAATGTCTGCCAGTGACCATGATGAAATGGAAAAGTTAGATAATTGTAGATATATATATATAGATTACTTTCTGCAGGTTTTTTCAAAATGTGTCCAATGGTTCATGAAGTATTTTGGTAAAAAAAAAAATAAAAAAAAATGAACGCCCCAAAACAAGACTAAGCCTTTTCTCTTTAGCCATGCCACACATATCTTTGTTTAGCTTTTACCATTGTTAGACATTTAGTTGGTTTGAAGTTTCCTTTGCTTCCTTTGTTATGTTGCACACTGCTTCACTCTTAAAGAGATCTTTATTCACCAGCCATTCCTGGGGAAGGTAGCTGTGTTTGAATGTCCCTCATTTGTGCACGGTGTGTCTGATTATGGATTTGTAGAATCCTAAACTGTCAACAGAAGAGACACATTCCATAACAGGATCAAAATAGGCCTACAAAACAACCAAGCATGCACGCACATCCACAGTAGGGACCGTTTTTATCAATTAACATAGCATGCATGTTTTTGGACTGTTCATAAACCAGAGTATTTTGCATAAATCCACCCATGCACAGGACAAACATCTAATAAGTTAATGCTGTGGTTGTTTTTATTTTCCTGCTGTTCCTTGTTCCTTACCAAGATTAATTGGCTACTGTCGCTTCTGACCACGAGACAAGCCACATCACATTTCATCTTCAAGTCTCTGGACAGATTTTGTCACGGCAGAAAGCAGACCGCTGTCAAAGCGGGCTCTGAATAAAAGATCTTGCTCCAAGCAAACAAAGAATAAAGGCGTCTTTTTTTGGGTCACCATTCTCGAACACATCTTCTGAGTCTTTGCAAGTGGCACAGTAATCACAAGCAAAGCCTTGAACGCTTCCAGCAGACCTCTGTGTTTTGGTTCCCTTATGGGAAACCTATCAAAGTTAGAATTGTAGATAAGGAAATTTAAAAGACGATTTGCATGCATCAGGCATTTGATTGGGAAGTTTTTGAATACAAAGTTTACAAGATGTCTGAATGCCTCCTGAATAAATAGATACTCAGTCTGAAAAACTAGAACTCCACTTTACATAGACGCGTGAGATTACTCATGTGAGCCACATTAACATTTTCAGTGCTTCTTTATTTACAAAGTGATAAAATACATCGTGGCTTCTTTGAGTTTACTCTCAAGGTAATGACAAAGCAGTCACACCAAGCACTCGCACAGTCAGACAAATTAAATCACATGGTTTAAAAAACATTATACAGCCGCACCACTGTTTGGATCAAATGTACAGTATTCTCAAAAAACTGAGGTAGAAAAAGCACAAACTGTTCAGCGGATGGCATTTGATAAAGGTTTGTAGAGGTCACAAGAGTTCAACCAGAGTGTTGTCAAGGGGGACGTGACCACATCCTGGTTCAAATGAAAAAAAAAGAAAAAAGCTCATCTTTAGGACAAAAAAGGTCTTAAGAACGTGTTTGTTTGGTTTTCTTTTTTTTTTTTTTGGTTTTTGTTGAAAAGGTCAATAACTAACTGGAATGAAACCAATCCAGGCAAAACAACAAAAGTGATAAAAGTCCACAGTATGGTGCTTTCTGCCTCCTACAAATTAGGTTTTATGTTCAATCCATGAAAAGGCTTTTGTCAAACTGCTACTTACTAATCAAATTATATTTTTATTATGTGTATGTATGACAAATGCACCATGCAGACAAACTACTTCCAGTTTCTAACAAGGTTGAGTCAGGTCCTCTGGACGGATTCTTCTTTGATGAAACATTTTGTTTTATATCCAAAAGACTTCTTCAGTCACTTTCACTTTCAGTTACTTACACTTTCACTTTCTTTTTTAACAATAAACACTTAAAGTACAAGAATGAACTGGATTCTTACTATAATAGGATTGACCACCACTCATCTCTGTTCTGTTTATACATTTATGCAACGTTTTCAGGGCTCCTATAGAATTTATTAACAGAGTTGAAGAGAAAACCAGTACAGGAATTAAAGGGGAGTTCAAATAATATTCAACATAATCTTGGCACCACAACCTTAAAGCTTTCACGTCTTGTTTTAAAAACTAAACCTGAGACGTGCTCATGTCAAAATGAAGATAATTCGAAGACACTGCGTCACAAAACTAATGGTTTCTCTTATAAAACATCAATTTTGTTTATGTACAGAAATCAGTTTGATTGATTTGTGTTCTGCTTGAAAGCCTTGGGGTAATTGTTTGTGTTTACAAGTCATTTCCTTTGCCGATGTAATCTAACACCATAAATCAGGAGCTTGGATGTATTTGTGGCTTATGCACGAAAGCAGCATGGGTTTGGCTGGCCCATCAAACATACTCTGAGATTTCCAGTCCCAAAATAGAATAACTGAGTCAGCAACAAGCTGAAGTAATTATGCAGTTTCAATATGAACAGTGACTTCCATTCTATCAGTGTGTCTTTTCTACAGATCTGGCATGAACATCACGTTCCTTACTGTCCGTTGACCACAGTAAATGCTGCTTAACCATCCGGGCTTAGACTTTCAGAGCCTCATGGACCCCCACAGCAGAGAGCCGGCGGTTGATATTGCGATAACGACAGCGGAGAAGGTCACGATAGGTGGAGCGCAGGTCTCGATTAAAGAAGGCGTAGATAAAAGGGTTCATCAGTGAGTTGGCGTAGCCCAACCAGAGCAGCGTGCGCTCCAGCCAGATCGGCACACAGCTACACTCCACTCCACAAATAAAAGGCCGGGCTGTGGACAAGATGAAGAACGGCAACCAGCACACAGCGAAAACCCCCACAATCACCCCAAGTGTTGTGGCTGCCTTCTGCTCCCGCTTAAAGATGGAGATGTTTTTACGTTCTCGGTTCAGCAAACGCGACAAGGCGGCACAGTCTTCTGCCACACCGGGCGGCTTCAGGCCCTGCATGCGCAGCGCCTCGTTAGCCACCGTTTCAAGGCGTTCGCGCCGTGACAAGTCGGTGAATCGGTGCTTGGCGCCGCTCTTGCGGGCTGCCCTGAAGATCTTGTAGTACATGACAAGCATTACCAGCATAGGGATGTAAAAGGCTACGGCTGTAGAGTAGATGGTGTAACCAAAGTCTTGGCTAATGAGGCACACACCGGCCGTGTGGACGTTCTTGGCCCAGCCACAGAAAGGTGGCAGAGTAATGGATGCTGACACCAGCCACACTCCCAGGATCATCTTGGCCATGAGCTGCCCGTTCTGCCGTGCAGGGTAGGTGAGAGGTCGGGTGATCCCCAGATACCTGCATGAAAGGGAGGCAGAGAAAACATCAAGAGTCATTTTTCAAATATTTCTTCACTTGTTTATAAAATTTGATTTTCAACAAAACTGTAAGATAAGAGGATGATGATTTTCACTAAAACATGAACACTTTGATCTTGAAAACAAAAAGAATTAAACGATTAGCATAGGTTGTTGTGTCAGCCATTTTGGAATGGAGTGACTCCAAGTGTCACTAATAGCAGATGTACATCCATTGTGTTTTTTTACTTTCATTTAAATTGGTTCAGTGGTTCATTATTATTTTTTACAACAGGGTATCAACATTTGAAACAGATGATTGTGATAAAAAATCTTGTGCCATGTGAAGTGCTTGGTCAATGTGTTGGGAATGACTCTCAGCTACTACCACATCAAATTTTAGTTTTATCCATCCATCCATTATCTTCTGCTTGCTCCAGAGCCAGGTCATAGGACAGCAGCGTCACCCTTTTATTCCGAGCATGTCACTGACAACACATTTTTAGGTGGCAAAGAGTTAAGCATGGAGGCCTATTTCTACAGCCAGCCCCTCCAGCTCCTCTGGGAGGCGTTTCCAGGCCAGTCGAGTGGCTTAGTCTCTCCAGGGTGTCTGGGTCTTCCCAGGGGTCTCCTCCCAGTTAGACATGCGTGGAAAACCTCCCTTGTGCCAAGTGTCCAAGGTGCATCCTTACCAGATGGCTGAACCACCTCAGATGGCTCCTTTGGATGCGGAGGAGCAGTGATTCTACTCCAAGTGTCTCCCAGATAACTGAACTTCTCACCCTATCTCGTGAACAAAAGTCTGACTGAGGACCATGGCCTTTGATCATTCTATTTGGTTTTAATATCCATAAAACTTGACTGAGTTGTAGCCATGTTTGTGCTGTAGTGACAACTTCATCAGTGGTATCCATCAAACACCCAGTGATGACTTAGTGAGGGTTTCATTCACCTCTGTCATTCATGAGATATTTTGCAGATAGCTAGTACAGGCAAACTAACAAACAAACACAAACAGGGGCAAACATATTATAGTCCCCCCCCCCCCCCCCCCCCGCCCCCCTTCACCTTCAGCAGCAGGTGATAAAAATTCTCTTATCACTTTAAAAGCACCCAGACACTAAAGGTACTGTGTGTGGAGTTTTGTATGAGAGGTCAAAAGCTTTGCCACTGTCTGGGGGGAGGGGCTATTGCTGTTTTACTTTGGCTTTCAGAGCTAAGCAGGTGAAGATGAAGCTATCAATCAAATGGAAAGCTAAGTGGATTCAAATAGCAACTGAGGGTGTCAGAGAAATAAAAATAGGTGTGAAAAGCTTGAATTTGTACAGAGCTGGGAAAATAGCCACTATTCTCACTAAGTGATAAATGTGTGTACGTCTCAGCGTATATTGGCTCAATATTCACATTCATCTTAAGCATCACATGTGCCATTGATGAAAGTTGTACATTTCAGGCTTAAAGCGCTGGTTTTCTTTTCCAATTCTCACTCTGCTTTTAATCAAAAGGTCAAAGCTTTGGAGAGCAGCGGCCAATTGTTCAGCTGTGATGCTATCACAACTCGGCTCGCTCAGCTTCAAACGGCTCCGTTCTCTTATCAAGTGGCTTTCAGATGCTGAGTTTGCACAAGACATGTCCAGTCTTCAGATCCTAATTTCACTTTTATATTTTAACGTTAATGTCTTGATAAGACAGTTTTGTGGTTGTCCTAAATACAACAAAGCTTCTTACAGATAAAAGACAGAAAACATATAAAGACCTCTGAGAAGAAATGCACATTGCCAACCACCATTCATGTCATAGTTTGAAACATGTGCTGAGAAATGACAGAGCTATAGCAGTTTTGGTCAAACATTGTAAATAATATTCTGTATGATCTCAGGCTCATGCTCACTAATGGAAATGACACTCAAAGACATGGGCCAAAACATTATTGCACCTTTGCCTTTGGTGACAGGCTATAATTAAACAATGTAGTTGTCAAACATGCTAAATGTGAAACTTTGTCTGAAATCTATTTCAAACAGTATAGGAAGTGTCAAATGGGGCATACAGCTTCTATGCTGCAGGCTGCAGCTTATTAGAAACTGACTTCTTCCAACATGTTGTATTGACTCCACTGGGGATCATTAGGTGTGAACACTATGAACATAATGCACAGCAGCTGAAAACACTCAATTAAAGATGCACACATGTAAATAAAGCTTAGCCGCAGAACACACAAACATCTCACTCGTCAATATAGTTTTAAAATTATTTTTAGGAAGCTGCACACAGCCTGATTTTTACTTTATTCATTTTTTCAGATTCTGTCTTAAGCAAACATATAATCTGAAGGGTAGCTGAGACGTGTAACCTGCATCTCATATCAGAATCCGTCACCGTTGTCATGACAACTGGTGAAACATCTATCATTTAGCTTAGACAAGATGGCTCATTTAGAGAAGTGAAGACCACAAGGCAAAAAAAGCCGAACACACGACTCATTTCAGTCAGAAATAAATATTTTACAGTAACAGTTTGTTATACTGTCAGTAGGTGCTAATGGCATAATATAGATTTAGCATTCACATGTATATTTTACTATTTTTTTATTTTTGATTTGTCTTTGGCAATCTACTGGTAACTACTTCTGCACACTGTTAATTTAGACATTAATGTATTAAAACATTCAGTTTATTCATGTGATGAACTCTGTGACTTTTGGTTTTAGAAACTTTTAGGCTTTTAACATTTAACTTTATTTACAATTACGTTCTCCATAAAAATACATTTTGAAAACTTTAAATTATTCAATATATTTAGGATCTACTTCTACCTAAATTCATTATCTTTTGTCTTCTTACAATACTTTTTAGCTTTGACCTTCAGCTCTTCTGCTTTTAGCATAGCCAAACTTTAGCTAGCCATGCAACTTTTAGCTTTTAGCTATACCTTTTTTAGTTTATACTAGCCTTTTGTTATTTTAGCTGGCCCTTTGCAACAAGCTTTTATCTAACCTTTTACTACATTTACCTATTTATAGCATTCAGCTAGTGTTCGGCTTCTTTTACCTTTAACAAATCAGTTTCGACTTCTTCAGCAAATTGCAGCAATCATTCTGCAGCATTCACCGAAAATGATATCTGATCATAAGTGAGTCGATGAGTCTTTGTTATTTTGGGGCGAGCATACAGATGTACTCCAACAGTGACAAGTTCACCGTTTTGAGCAGTAACTACCCTTGTTACTGCCAAGAGATAAAAGAGGAGCAGTAATGTGTTTGCCTGTGTTGAGTGTGGGGGTGGGGGTGCACACCTGTATGTTCTTTTGTCTTTGTTGTCTATGTTTTGTGTATGTTTGTATAACTGTTCTAGAATTGCACCACTCGGGGTGGCTGCATGTTGGAGTAGCTCTGTTATATTCATTGAGATTTTGCTTTTGGAAACTTTAATTCCTCTTTTTCTGGCTGTAAATCACTTTTTTTGGGGATGATTGTTTCCTCTGGTATCAGATGCTGTGCAGCTGGAAGGATTGTTACTGTGCTACATGTGTTTGTTTTTTTTTTGTTTTTTTTTGTCTTTCAGGTACATCTGGACCTACCATTCTGTGTTTGTCTGTCTCTCCTTCCTGTCCTCTCAACCAGCCGGTCAAAGCAGATGATCGCTTGTCCTGAGCCTGGTTCTACTGGAGGTTTCTTCCTTTTAAAAGGGAGTTTTTTTTCCTTTCCACTGTTGCTACTGTGCTTGCTCAGGATGGGAGACTGCAACAAAGCCAAGATTCAACTTGTCTGCTGGATTCCTTAGATAGAGAACTTTACTAATTGGCTTTTATGTATGTGAATGTTCCTGTAAAGTGCCCTGAGACAGCTTTGTTGTGATTTGGCGCTATATAAATAAACTGAATTGAATTGAATTGAATTTTTCCTGGAACTTTAGTAGTTTTGGACATTTGTTATGATACATAACCATGACAACAAGGTGGTTTTTACAATCGGGAGCAACTGATTAACATCTCAAAGCTCAAATGATATCTCAGCTACAGTCCCAAATCTCAAATGAGTTAAAAAGGAGGCACTGCAGATGCATTCCCGTCTCACTGCCAGCTGTGCTCGAGTGCCTGACCACTGAGATCCTGGAACTGGCAGGAAACACGGCTCGTGACAGCAGGGCAAAAATCGTCCCTCGACACTTGCAGCCGGCTGTCTGCAACAACAAAGAGCTCAGCAGGCTTTGCCCAGCATTCGGGCGGTCTTGCTGCCTGGAGGAACCAAGAAGCCAGCCAAGTCTGTGTGGACAGCATCTGCAGCCAGTTACTTCAGATCTGCTGTGGGACGGACCTTTACAAGAGATCCTTCTTGCCTACAGCCATCAGCATCCATAACATTTCTTAATGAAACGAGGATAACAAGTTACAACAACACCTAATTTCCCTTTGGGATTAATAAAGTACTTTTGAATTGAAATGAATTGTTGGGGAAAAACAACTGGTTAAATTTTGGAGTCAATCCATGTCAAGAGAGCTGTCACAGCTCATTTAAATTAGCCAACATACAACTGGTTATAACACAGGAAATTTAACAGCTGTCGAGCAAAGATTCATGTGGCAGTAGCTGAGAGTCATTCATAAAACATACTCTGAGCGTAACATCTTATATTACATAAGACTGAGCTTATGGTTAGTTTCGAGATTCTTTTTTTTTTTCTGTTAGATCGTGATGGATTAGTCTAAAACGCTGGCAAGGCTAAGGCTTTAATTTAAAATGCTCTTTAAACAATAAAACAGTCTGGGAAAAAGACACAAGCCACAGCTAGAATGAGCACATTCCAAGTCCTGGGAATTCTTGGAAAATACATAATGGATTTGCAGCTATGCAAAGCTGCTCTGCGGCTGCATTAATAATAAGAAAGCTGTTTGTGGGGATAATTGTGTGTCGGAAGCGGTGGAGGGCAGTTCTCTGGAACTGTGACTCATCCTCAACCTCTTGGAAGGCGAGGCTATTTTAAGACAGTTTATATTGTTTTT